TGGCACACTTTAGGCCCCTTAGTGCCAATTGGGCATCGTTTAAATGCCACGGCCTACCTGAGCATTGTTTCTGACCATGTCCATCCCTTTATGGCCACCATGTACCCATCCTCTGATGGCTACTTCCACCATGTCACAAAGCTCTAATCATTTCAAATTGGTTTCTTGAACATGACAATGAGTTCACTGTACTAAAATGGCCTCCACAGTCACCAGATCTCAACCCAATAGAGCATCTTTGGGATGTGGTGGAACGGGAGATTCGCATCATGGATGTGCAGCCGACAAATCTGCGGCAACTGTGTGATGCCATCATGTCAATATGGACCAAACTCCCTGAGGAATGCTTCCAGCACCTTGTTGAATCTATGCCACGAAGAATTGAGGCAGTTCTGAAGGCAAAAGGGGGTCCAACCCGTTACTAGCATGGGGTACCTAATAAAGTGGCCGGTGAGTGTGTATATATATATATATATCATCAAAAAAAAATGTCTTTGTATTATGTAATCATCAATTGATAGCATTTAAGACAGCACAAACACACTTTTTAAAGAAACATTTCACAAGTTCAATAGATTCAAAATGAAGAAAATAGCATTTGGACATCCTTTAAAAACACTTTAGGATCGCTGGCCTATAGCATCAATTGTTTAGAAATGTCATTTGGTATGATAACCTGTTTATCAGAAATGCTAATCCATTCTTTTTGGGTGTGTATGTGTCCAGAATTGTCCAAATACTTAGGGCCTCCATATAAACAGTAAAGCAAATAGCATGAACATTCAAATCTCTTAAGTGTGTCTAAACAACAGAATGCAGCCAATATCTGTTATTATTCTGTGGCTATTTGTACACAAACCAACCGTCAAAGAGTTGCTGGTGTTTCTTAACCATGCAGTTATAGTATAAATGAAGCTATAATTAGTTTACAAAAAAAGGTTCCAAACATCCATTAACAAAAATAACTTGCTCAAAATGGCATTGACCTTCAAACCGTTTAAGCGAGAGAATGGAAGAAAACAGTGGATCTCTTAAAGTACACAGACCTCCACTGTGACCTCTGCTTAACCGTGGCTCTGTCATTCTAACATCAAGTTAAATATAGAGTTTGTGGCTTTTATGTGAGTTGAGCATTGGCTCAGCTTTTCAGCATGGATGAATATGAAGTTCTGAGGCATACACAAATATTTGGTGAATCCTTTATTTCAGTTTGCTTGAAAATAATTTGCCATAAACTAAACCTGCCATTGAAATTGTCAACTATGAGTCACGTTTAGTCAAGTTTAAATTTTGATTTCAGTTTGTATGTTCTTGTTTTTCCTTGGTTTTAGTTCCTGATTCCTGTGTTCCCAATTCTAGTTTGTTTCCATTGTAACTTCTTATGTTCACCTGTTTCTAGTTTAGTTCCTCATTATGGTTTGTGTATTTAGGACCTCGGTTTGATTCTGCCCTTTGTCCTGTATTGTCTTTGTGTGAGTTGCAAAGCTAGTGTGCTTGTTTACTGCACCTACGCTTTTGCTCCGTGTTGGATTGCCTTTGTTGCTGTAGCAGCTCTTCAGACTGTCAATCCAAATCCGATTGATATACGATCATATTTAGCAAGTGTGAACGGCAAAAACATCACATGGGCTACCAACGCAACGTTATTGGCATAGAAACCATTCTGGAAAACAAAAGAGACAAAAGGACACAAATCGGATCTGAACAGTTGCGGATTTGGACTGACAGTGTGAACATAGCATATGTAGAGCCAACTCTTAAGACAACGGTTGTCATAAACGTGCTGTGTTGATACGGACTTTATCAAATGATGATAATAAAATGTTGGCCCTAAATTGACTTTTTATTATAAATTATTTTCTGTGTCTTTGGAGACGGAGTGTAAGTGTGCATGAGCTAACAATGTGTGCAATAGTTAATGTGGCCAGTCAACTATATAACTTGTGGGGAAAAAAAATATTTTGTTGACGTTTTGCCTAACAGATCTTAAAATGACCAAAATTATCTTTAAGGTAGACTTATGAATAAAGTGTTCATTACTTCAACGGGCTCATTGTTTCTGCACTAAATTATTACATTGTTTAATTTAATACATTTTTCTCTAACTGTGATTTTGTATATGTACATTTCTGAAATACATAACTTAGTCTTAGACAGTTACCTCTGATAACAGATCACTCTAAATTGTAATGTGGACACTCTCTGTAAAGCTGCTTTGAATGATGTGTATTTTGAAAAGCGCTACACAAATAAACGTGAATTGAATTGACTTATGAGAGTCTTTCCCAACTGGGAAATGGACAAAACATTAATGGCTCCTTACACTAATGGCATACCAACATTTCTGACCAATCAAATTTCTCTTGAACAAGAAAGCCTCTCTAATACCACCAGCCTTTGAATAGCAATGGCAAGCTGGTGCTGAGGTGTCATTATAGACCCTTTACAGAAAACTGCAACCAGAAAAGAAAAATTTACATATTTAAGGAACAATCAGTGTAAAGATTGCAGACAAAGAAAAAGACTTTATGGAACAAAGGCGGTACAGGTTTCCAAGTGGCAGAATAACGTGACTTAGAAGCAGCATCATATTTCATATGTAAAATCAGCAGATGTGTGTATGTGGAAAAGTGAAATGGTCTGAATTATTTTTAATTGCAAACATGAATACAATATAATAAATTAAAAAAGAAATATGACTGAGATGCTGGATGTATAATGGAGAAATAAAAAAGGAAGAGGAAAAAAAGACAAGATCATTTGCATATTCTAGGTTTGGGTTTTTATAATGGTGCAACTTGTCACATGGTTAGTGGAAAACAGAAATGTCTATAACCGACCAAATATATGCCCACATTATTACATGTTTCAAATTCGTGGTTAGCAAAAAGACAAACTTATTCCAGTGAAGCCAACAGATGATGTTTATTCCAATAGCAGCCTAGCCCTTCTAAATGATCTTTAAACGCTTCCACCAGAGTGAAATTGTATATTTAAACCACGAGACCAGTGCAGTTGAGTTGTTCTGGACCAGAAATAGCACCGGCATGTTCACAGTCTCTCTATGGTCTATACAAACAACCCAAAAAAAAAAAAAAAAAAGTGTGTCCTATACATCTGCTGCCTCTAACACACCGAATGTAAACATTTACAGACATTTACAGCAATCAAAACGCACTGAGCAAACATCTGTTTTGTAAACCTTTAGCCCTGCTAGTTTACGTGCTTTCATATTAATGGGAAAAATCTAACTGTATAGAAACACATTCATTCTGAAGCAGAACAACAGAATGTAATGCTAAAAGCAAAGCAAGTACAACACAAATATGAACACAAAATAGAATAGTTAAGTGCTGTAGTTGGCATAAACACTAAAACCTCTGCAAACAGGACAAAAATATTATTTAACTTTTAAACTGGCTAAATTTATAACAAAGGCCTATTTAGCATTTTGAACAATGTATCTACATATCTCTCATTTTATATTTTAACAATATTTTCATTAAAGCGTATTTGAAGAGTATCCTACTATAAAACTACAAAATGTGACTTGTTCTCATCTGAACACATTTAGGTGAAAAACAGAATAAAGGATGATTATTTCAACTCTTTCTTAAGTCGTTTTATCATATGCTACCCACCCTGCTCTTCCTCTATGTGAATGGCAGGATGGAGCAATGGATCATCTGCTTCAGACACATTACAGCATGCGTGTTGACAGAAACAGTCAGACAGTGTTCCATACATTGTTGTCTATTGTAACATTTTGTGAATATGCTACAAATGAGTACCGATCGCTGGCAGTGTATTAAGGATATTCAGCAGCAGAGTGGGAAAAGCCCTTTGACTACATTGTGTGAGGCTTCTGTATGTTGTTTGGTAGTAATGCGCCTTATGAGTGATGTCTGACCCACACTAGCTGACAAACCTGCCTTCTAGAACTTAAGATCAGGTTGTGCTTCTTCTCCAAAAAAAAAAACTCTTTAAACTTTATAAAAGGGCAAAGCTTGCAAAAAATATCTAGGTCACATTCACCCTAAAATCAAAATAAATAAATATATTATTAAAATTATTGTTATACAATTGTATGTATAACTGTAAAATAATATAATACATCAATGAAGCCTAATTAGTATGTATAACTGTAATGTAATATAATATAATATATCAATGAAGCCTAATTAAAGGCCATTCATATGTTTTGTATTACGGCATTATTTTGATAATTTTTATAAACAAAAATTAGCAGAAATTAAAGGCAATATAATAAAGACTACCATGATGTACATCATTTAAATAATATTTCTTTTGCATTACAATAACGAGAATGCATTTTCTTTCATATTAAAGTAGGCTGCTGAAAATTGAGGTTGGATGAATGTTATCTAGAAAAATAAGATCTTAACAAAGGATTCGATTTTAGTGTGAATTACAACCCAGATATGTTCCCGTGAGATTCAACCCGACAGGGCAGTCCTAAACGCTCCGCAATCACAAAAGTGATTCCACTCTTTAAAAATAAAAAAATAAATAGTCCAAATGTCAAACTAATCATTATTTTTTAACAAAAATGAGACATTCTTCACTAATTTAATGACAAAAACTCTTCAATAAACAAAATATGTTATATATGAAAAACACTGTAAATAGTATTATTGTAGTAACAGACAGTACAGAACCAATTTTATGATAATAATAATAAATGTCATCATTAATAAGACATTTTGCTATAAAACTTGCGATCCTAAACCATGTACAATACTAACTCTTGATATACAGGACATTTTCATAAAAATATACTGTGTGAAAAGGTACTATTGCATTGAAACTGGAGGATAATTTACAGTAAGTATTTGTACAACTCTTCCTTTTGTTTGTTGGCGGGGTCAACCTCGCCGTTATGATTTTTAAAAGTTGAAACGTTTTACCCAAAAATGAAAAGACACCCTCATGTCAGGCCAAACTCATATTCTGTGAATTTTCCAGAACCCTCAAAAATGTTTGCAGCATATAGAGCTTTGAAACGACAAGAGAAACACAACAGAATTTTCATTTATGGGTAAACTTTTCCTTTAAGTAAACAGACTAAACACATATGATATAATATGAATAATGTAATAAATGAGGTCCTCTTAAAGCTGCATTGTGAATGTTTCTGATTCTAAACTCTGTTTAGATAAGAGCAGTCTCATGAGTGATCAGCTCTCTTTTAACATTGTACTGTTCTACAGCACTATATGAGCGGACTACCGAGTAAACTACATGCTGCCCATGACTCATCTGAAATCCTTCTGAGATCTAAAGTGAGGAGTGAGGGAAGATTTAAACAGTGCAGCTGAAACTGAGATGGTTGGTCTCTGTGTGCACTCTATCCTGTTTCCACTCAGGAGGGCATGGAATAATTAAGTCTCACATAAACGAGTTATCACATCTTGATGGTTTACTAAAACACTAAGAGCCTCTCATTTTCATCAATATGATGACATTGAGAGTGTTACGTGTGCAGTCTTTTTTTTGCGGTTAAAAATGCAATAAATAAAACCAGCTGAACACATGACTATAGTACACCTGAAGGAGTTTGGAGAAAAACACCTGCATAGTATTTGAGCTGATCAGAGGGCTGCAGTGAGGCATTGTGGGATAGAAATCAGCAGCAGGCTCAGCACTGTGTGTCACCTGTGGATGAACACACACCAGCCTCCGGGTTACCTGAAAATAATAGACAAAACCAGATTAAATTGGCAAAGCACAGATTTAATATTTTATATAGTTTATATCTCGCAATTCTGACTTTTGTAAATTCTCATTTGCGAGAAAAAAAAAGTAAGAATTGTGAGATAAAAAGTCGCAATTACCTTTTTTATTTTTTTATTCTGTGGAGGAAAGGGAGAGATAAGTGCTTCACTTAAAAATCTAGTTTAAAGTTTGTGAAAGCAGTCTCAATTCATGAACTTCAAATTTCCATTTAGGGACAGTAAAATTTCTTGTTTTATGGCTTTTTTCCTGCATATTGGTTAGACCAAATGACTTTGATTTGGTGGACAAAAAAAGAATACATTATTATTATTAATTGTTATTATTACTATTACAATAAGAAATAAGTTTTTAAAAAATCACATCAAACTACTTAAGATTTTTTATTATTTCATTTTATTATTTGATGTAAGAGTTGTATTTTTTATGTTTTAATAAATGAATGTGGACAAAAATGGATTGAATTGTTGCTGCTTATGGTAATCTATGAATGCATTCTATGCTTGATTTTAAGGACATTTTTGTTTTTGTATGATAAAAAAATCATGTACATTTGTGCTGGGTTGTCCTTTGTAAAATCTGGGTCCTGAATCCTAATCAATTAGGAACACCTGCTTTTAAGTAGTTACTGATAATACCACGTCCCAAAAAATAAAAATAAAAATTACATGCATAAATATATATATTTTTTTTTTATTTCTGCACCTTACCAGTGTAGAGCGTAAACATCTTTAGTGGCAGTTGCCACAACCACAAGCTCATAGAATTTGACATGAAAGATTACCTGGATCAGGCGTAGCCGCTTTGGGGGGCGTGCGGGACTCGTCGTCGTCGCTGAAGCGGATGACCTCTCCGGCGGGGAGATCCGGCTGGCCTTCAGACTCCTGACCCCCAATGCTCCGCAGCGCCAGGATACGATGATGCAGGGCTGCAAAGAGCTGGGCAGCGTCCTTAGAGCTGGACTGAGAGATGAGATGAGACCACATAAGACCGACCGCTTAACACTCACTGTTCACAGCCTCATACGACTATAATCATTCTTACAGATATGAGGAAGACTTTGACGCCCTGCTCGTCTGTGTCCATGGCTGTTATTCTGAGACTCTTCTCGCTGGCTTTATCCACCTGCATCTGAGGCCAAAGCTTAGTGTTGAGGATCACTCGAAGACTTCCTTGAGTCCGCATGACTGCAAGCCACAAACAAACACCAGGATCAGCTCTCAGTAAACAGAAACACTACGCTGTGATTAAATTATACCTATGCTCCTTTTAAAACTTGTGTCTGACAAACATGTTTCATGAGAATTTGTTGCAAATTTTTGTCAACCAAAAGTTTCACAGTTATAGGTCGGTCAGTAAATAAGAAAGATCAATTAAATGACCAGTATTTGGCCATTTTGAGACTACTGGCACCCATGGCATATAAAACAGAAGTATTAGCTCCCCCTTGTGACAGTTCCAAAATCTGCAGACAGCTTTGTCTGTAATGCAGAGTCCTGCACGGGTTCGGGTACCCGCGGGTAAAAATATCCAACTGTGTCGGATACGGATGCGGGTCGGGTCGGACACGGGGAAACGCGGGTCTAAACACGGGTTCAAAACAGTCACGTGCAAATGTAAAAATAAATGCATATTTTTAGGAACACATCTACAAAACTATGCCTGCCCTGTATTTCAAGTTGATAAAATATTTGTTTTTAGTTCATTTGAGCCCGCGCCCTCCCATGAGTCTCTAGGCCTAACGTTACATTCACTTTTAAAAAATCACAACCACTCGAACTGCTGCATGAGTCGTCTAGATGGATAGAGAGGAGTTAGCTAGAGGAGATTATAAAGTTGTCGACAATACTTCATCGAAACTCAAGATGGTGTATGTAGCGTTTAGGATTCGCATACAACTGGACTTTTCTTTCATTTAAAATTATCACATAGCCTACACTGTTGTTATTGTCTAATTTAAAACTGTTAAGTAGGCCTATGTGTGGTGTGAAATTGTCTGATGTGCTAGACGAAATTGCATTGTTTTGTGGTAACGTTAACCATGTTCTGTATAGGCTATCGGCTTTTTGACAGCTTCGGCTGTTGTCCTTGTCTTAAGACAAGTGTGTCTATAATGTGATTGGCTAAACTGATTTTATTTCAGGTGCGGGTCGGGTCTCGGTTCTATTTTAAGCGGGTTGGGTGGCGGATTTTAATCAGTGCTGCTGTCGGAAAACGGGTCGGATGCGGTTTTAAGCACTGCGGGTACGGATTTACAAAATCGGACCCGTGCAGCTCTCTGCTGTAATGAACATGAGCTGTTTTTGTACGGTGACCTAGTAGTGCACAACACAACAAAATTTAAAAAGCAAACATAAGTTCCCAACGAAATTAAGCCACAACACATCGAAATGAATCCAAAACACAACGCAAATGAGCCACAACACAATGGAAATGCTCCCGACCACTAGAGGGCTCTCGGAGCGCAATAAAGTTAGTTTTCCATGCCACTGTTCTATAGAGTCAGCAGTCTAAAAAATATATCAACAGCTTGATTAGTTTTAACAGTATGTAGCGAACCACTGTATATCGACATTTATGAATTAAAAATCACCTACGTGCATTACAGCTGCATATTTATACTCTAGAATGCTTTGACGTGCTACCACAGCGCATGATCCCTAAGGGTACGTCTGCCAATTCTTCCAAGTTGTTCAAACTTATTAAAATTACTTTTAACATTTAAAAACAGACATGTTCAAAATCAAAAGCTTGATTGTATTGGTAGTAGACTGACTAACTACAGGTGACTTTTATCCAATACCTCCCTTCATGTATTATTCACTTCAATAAACAATTATTTTTTTAGGAATTTCTGTAATATTATAAAAGTATTTTTTCTTTTATCATGTTTCAAAGGTTGTAGATCCTATTAACCAGACTGACTTAAAACAGGTGAAATTGTGCCAATAGCTCCCTGTATGCACAGTACACAATTTGTTTTTTATAAAAACATTAGACCTACTGTAATTCATCTATAGGTTGTTGGTTTTTTTTATGTCCCAAAGTGGGAGGTTCCTAGTGACCAGACTGACTTATTACAGGTGAAATTGTGCCAACACCTTCCTGTAATTCTGCAATTCAAATTTATTTTTATTTATCAAATTATATTATAATAAACTATACCTTTTAACCACTTGGTGGAATTGCCAGACGTTCCCTTAGGGATCATGCACTGTGGTAGCGCGTCAAAGCCTTCTCGAGTATAAATATGCTGCTATAGTTCATGTAGGTGATTTTGAAGTAATATTTTATGTCGATATACAATGGTTACATACAGTTAAACCGAATCGTGGTATTGATAGATTAAGACTGACAGCTCTATAGAACAGTGGCATGGAAAACTAACTTTATTGCGCTCGGAGAGCCCTCTAGTGATCGGGAGCATTTCCGTTGTGTTGTGGCTCATTTCCGTTGTGTTGTAGATTCATTTCATTGTGTTGTGGCATAATTTCGTTGTGTTGTAAACTTGTGTTTGCTTTTTAAATTTCGTTGTGTTGTGCACTACTGTACCTAGTTGTGCATTTTACTATGGCACATGTCCACTATCAAAACACCAGCAAATTCACAGTAAAATGTAAAGAGTGAAGGTGATTCGACCAAGGCCTTTTACAACATCATTACCCAGTCTGGATTGTAAGGTGCCGTCATCCGCTGTCGCTGATGTCATGTCATTAAGCCTGAGCACTCCACATCCTCTCTCCACCCACGACTGAGACGTCATCTCAAACACAAACAACTTACACTGCATCTGAAAACACACAGGGCAGTGCAGGATCATCTTCTCATGCAATTTCATCAAGCCCGTCTGTATCGATCAGATGCAAGATCTGCTCTCACCTGCAGCACGTTGCTCTCAGACTCCTCTCCTGTCCTGACCTCCACCCGCTCTAATAAACACTTCTGAGGCTTGTGTGCTTCGTGTCGCGCCGCCGACTCCTCCAGAGACTCTTTCATGTTGTCACCTACAGCACATTATAGAGTCACATTAATTATCTTTAATGATTTAGTGCAGTGGTTCCTAAACTGTGGTGCAAGAAAATGGTAATGAAATGGTAGAAAATTATACTTAGACTACCGTACAAAAGATTGGGGTCATTAAGATTATTTTGCTTTCAGCGTGGACAGAAAAGCTGTTTGACTCATTTGTTCTCATTTTGGCCATAGTAATGATGAGCCATTAATCTCAAAACTCAACATGATTTTTGTCAGGTCAGGCTTGTGATTGGGTCTGGAACACATACTCTTCTCCACAGTTTGATCTTGTGAGGATGAAAGCTGGCTGAACAGGCCCATCTCAGACTGAAACTCTCTGCTGCCCCCTGGTAGTTCTGTGCTGAGTTTCGGCAACGCCTGGAAGCATGAAGTACAAGTGGAATTGAGTGATTGAGTCTTGATACTCAGCCACTTGAGTGTGTCAAATTATGACAAACAGAAAGGAATTTATCGCTTTACCAAGACACGATCCAACATGTTCTGCCCAAAGACAAACTTCACACTGTTGGCATTGCTGTTGTCAGGTTTCTGTGTGCTAAAAGAAACAATATTAATGCCAAGAAAAGTTACAAGTTTCTGTCTGAGGAGATCTGTAAAATCTTAAAAACGAACATGAACATTTGAACTGCAGTACCTAGAAGTGGTGCACTGCAAGAAGTAATTTGTTTCCTCTGAATTTTCTGGCAGAAGACGATCAGTATTCTGAGAGTCCCAGCTGTTACGCACCTGCAGCAAATCCAATACTTTAAAACAAAACTCCAAAACCAAGCTTCTTTTTTTTTTTAATTCTAAATTATTGCATAATTTAAAGCTGCAGTCTGTAACTTTTGTGTTCAAAATTGACAAAAATTACTTGAGCAAGTACATCATGAATTCATTTTCCAAACTGTGTTTTTGTCTTGTCCTGGATCACTACGGTACACCTATAATAAGTGTTTATATTCTGACTATTCAGACTGGTTTGGGTGGGCACTGCTGTGGAGTAGCCCAGTACCTGCGTGACTCGTCATAAACCGAGAGAAGTAGCTTCGGCTATAATGTTCTTCCGCAAGACGCATGCAGTTCTGTTTATTAACCACTAGAGCGCCACAAGTTATGGACTGCAGATTAAATAAGGAACATTAAAAGTTCTGATTTGCAGACATTTATTCTGAATTATGACAGGGTGACAATTAGATCAATTATATCTTTACATTTTCCATAGATTTAAAATATAGTGAAAAGGACTAAATAATCATAATATCTCTGAAGCTGTTTGTTTTTGTGATTTGTTTTCTAACAGTAACCAGTAATAAAAATCAAACTGTATTCAAATCTACTATACAGCAAGTAGAAAAAAATGTTAAAAACTAAAACATTATCAAATCTAGCATAAAAAAACAAAGGCAAGTTCTGTTATTCTTTTTTTTTACATGAGGAAAAAAATATATCTAATTATTTTCATGTATGTGTGACAATATAACAGCAATATTATCAACATACACTACCGTTCAACAGTTTGGGGTTGGTAAGACCAGCGCTAGATCTTTGGCGTCGGTTTGGTGTGTCCCTAACTTTAATTCTAAATCATATTATGTGGTGGCTCCTATGATGTTGACTGATGTTTGCAATCAAAACTCTGAATAAGAAGCATGTTCAATCACTTCATTGAAACAGTTTGAACTGATTAACTAAATTAATTGAGTATTTTTTCTACTGAAGTTTAAATAAGAGATACTATTAAAACATCAGTCTAAATGCATTCATACTCAAGTCAGGGAAGAATAGGAAAACTAAATAAATAAAAAGCCAATTAAATTCTTGTAATATTCCAAATGTTGCTTCATTTTTATATTGACAGCAAAATCTCTGTACTGTAAATATTCAATATATAACCCAGTCCAAATAGGAATGAGACAAAATCACACAGAGAACATCAGTATCAGATGAATCAAACCTTTGCTCTGTCCCTCATATTCTGTCCAAATACAAAACTGGCCTCAACCGGAGCATCGTGTCCTTCAGGTTTGTCATCTGTTTTGTCATCTGTTTTTTCCCCCAAAGTACTGTTGTTCTGTACCTTAAAAGTAATAACAAAAAGTCATTTTAAGTTTAAAAGTGTGACCAAATGACAAATGGTTCACTTTGCTGTATTCACGCATCAAAGATTTAACTACAAATACTGGGTCAGCCAAAAAAAAACAAAAAAACAAGATGTTTAGCACAAGATGACAGACTATTTTCTGGAAACCAAAACTAAACATGTCTGGCCTTTGGACCGTAGCCCATGCTGTGTTCAAACATGCTCCCTTTGTAGAATATGAAAAAAAAAATCATATAGCACAAATATATGCTATTTTAAATAGCACAAATACAAATTTGAAGCAAAAAAATTCACAAAAAGAATAGGGCTGGGCAAAAAAATCGATTTTTCGATTAATCGTTTTTTAAAATGTGGTCGATTCAAAATCGATTCTCAATGGCCACGAATCGATTTTTTCCATATTCAGGGCTCGCGGTGCTGCGCGTCTTCTCTCTCTGCACAAGCGTCAAGCGCTGCAGGCGTCAATACACACTTGTGTTTAGGAGTCGGGACATGATTCACTTGCACAATCGGGCCAGCATTGCATCGTAACTAACGTTTATCATTTTCACGTCTTTAAGTTTTACCAGTTTAAACATTCAAGCAATTTTAAACTATCCTGTGCTCGCGCACTCGCGAGTGTTTTTCATTGCGTGCACATACAGTAAAGCCTAAATCCGCCTCACAAACAGCTCGCCAGTAACAAAAGTTCTTTTTCGTGGATTATATCGCTTTAACAGTTAAAAACACGCAAAATGATGTCAAAACTCTGGTCTTGGTGAGTAACCTCGTAAAGACAGTCGGTTATGTCTTAAATAAGCATAAAACGCGTGTGACAGACAGTATAATGAAACAGTAATGGATCCGTGCACTAGTTCTTAAAGTGAACGCAGCCATATGTGTCTGTCATTAATTTTGTTGTCAAAACAACATAATATAGCATTAATTGTAAGGAATCAGAATTAATAGCCTATGTATTTAATTCAGTCAGGACTAAAAGACTATCCAGTGTTATTTTACATTGGATTACTTTATTCAGTTTCTGTAGTATTTCTGACCTACCCAAAAACTTTTCTTTTTATGTCTCTTTATGTGTCTTTTGGCCTATTCTATTGTATTTATTTGTGCTACTTTTTTCAATTTAATTCAAAGATTGAAATCAAGCTTCCATGTGTTGCATAAACTCTTCACACAAAAATTACCCCATTGTAAAAACAAACATTTAGGTGAGATCAATGTAATAAAAAATTGTCTTAAAAATGATAACTGATATTTAGACTGAGATTTGTATTATATCTATATTCATTATAGTCGAATCGAGAATCGAAATCGAATCGAACTGTGAGCTTGTGAATCGAAATCGAATCGAATTTGAACATCTGAATCGATACCCAGCCCTAAAAAAGAAGTCTGGTATGCTTAAAATGATATAAAACAGGTTATTATATGGTTTAAAGCTAATACAAAAAGTATTTTGACACTGATTGTCAAATCATTATACTGCCATTCATTTTAAAGTGCCTATTATGCACTTTTTCGAAACATTACCTTTCATACGGTGTGTAATATGGTTGTTTGTGAATATAAAAGGTCTGCAAAGTTTTAAAAATCAAAGTGAATGATAAATAAAGTTATTGTCTTCTACCAGCCTATGGTCTTCATTGGCTGCTCACAAACAATGTCTACTTTGACCCGGCATTAAACACTGTAGTTGTAGCTAAGACTGGAAGAGTTTGGTTTGTGTTGTCGACATGTTGAGAAAAGGCACTTCCAAAGGATGAGGACTTGGGCTCGAATTGATACGGTAAAACCGGCGGTTCGAGTCATGTCTTACCAATGCCACGTCATTTTCCTGTGTGCCAGCAGCAGACATCTCTGAGTTACGTTCACATTCTGTTCCTCCATCTGAGAGGTTTTCCACTCCGTTTGAACTGCTGTTGCTCGTGTCTGATGAAACAACAGACATGTTACATGTTGTAGTTCTCCTTCAGCTGCTCTTCTTGAGCTGATATTCATCATGTACTCACTGTTCTTAGGGGGGGTTCGGGCCAGAGGGGGCTGCAGCACTGGAGGTCGCAGAATGCTGCGCTGGGCTTCTTTGGGTTTGGGGTTAGGGACACCTGAAATGAATTAATCAAATAATGTTTGCTGTGAACTCATCATACCTCAAGCTGGTCTCTGGAACTGAAATGGTGAAATCAGTGGAATCATGTAAATAAACAATCTTATGAAAGCACCACAACTGGACATTAATCAACAGGCTGGTCAAAACAGCAGATGCTTGAACACTGACTCACCAGTGCTCGGTGCTTGACCGTGGATCAGAGTCGGGGGTTTCAGGCGAAACCCCACAGTCTTCTCTTCTGATGGAAAAAAAAAAAAAAAAATTGAGAAAATGAGATCTGTTAACATGAAACTAAAACTGACACTTTCTTCCTTTCTCCAACGCAAATGTATTGTGCAAATGTTTGTCTTTGTAAACTTTGAAAATGTAATAACTAAGCTCCATTTCTGAAACAACTTTCCTTTTTATGTCGGTCAAATACAGACCACTTTTGATCAATTCCTAATGGATAAAATCAACTCTTGAGTTACTCTTCTCACTGAATATCCTGCTGCACTCATAAATGTCAATGAACATAAAACAGGCTGCCATTTCATGCTGACTTACAATGTGAGATTTGGTATAAGTTTGTAGCAAAACTGTAGCTAATCTCACCAGGTTCTGAGTCGGAGTTTCCGGTTGGTGACTGACAGAAACTGGATGGCATGAAAACGTTATTCTTAGAAACTGCGAAAAGGAAAAGAAAGTGTGTCAAAGAAACCAGGCTAAAGATCTGTTATTATTTTCCAGGTGTAAATCTCTGGATTACCGGAATGAGTTGGTGGGAATTGTGTAAATGGTGATGTTCTTCCTCTTTTGGCAGCAGGACTGTATCCGCCATCTTCTTTTTCAGAGTCTGGGGAGAGACACATGCATAAATTAGTTTTATAAATTAATCCATTTCATACAGAACTCACAATGGATGGAGCACATTTTCAAGACATTTTCCACCCCAAAATCAAAAGGAAACAAGGAACTACATTTTTCAAGACTCTAGGGCTGTAGTCAACCAAAGAAATCCTTAGTCGACCAAAGTCTTGTCCTGCGCAACGATTAGTCGACTAAAAACAAAAAAAACACGATGTTTTGATTGAAAAATGTTTAACAATTGTCATAGAGCATTTATAAAACAACAACGAAAAAACATCAAAAATACATAAAACTATAATAATAATACAATTCTTTGAAAATTGATTGATTTTTTTTTTCAACTGCAAAAAGTGAGGAGCTCTGTCCTAGGTCTAGTGACAGTCACAATCGCGCACCTGACCACACCACACGCTACATAAATATAACTGCTATCTGCCACAATGAAAAATCCTAACAAAAGCTATCATTTATACAGGCTGTATATTTTCCTTTACTTTCAAAGCTATGGGTTAACTTTTGTCCAGCCGATCTAGGAGTTTTAAAACAACACACACAAAAAACCAAAGAGCCTAAAAAACAATCCTAATAATAATAGGCTGTAGTAGGTTTATTTTCGTTTTGTTACATTATTTAGGCTATTTTCAAATGCGTCAAGTGTACAAATAAAAACAAAAACATATCAAGAAAACACAATCTATTGAGTCAGCATGATAAAGCCGTTAAAGGGACTGCTCACGTCTTTTGCGCGCTCAAGTTCGATTTCAAATGTAGGCGCGCGCTCGTGATGCGCGGTGCGACGCGCTCTTTTTTTTCCAAGTGCGTCCACGCTGCATCGAGATAAAAACATATAGTGTATAAAAACCGAAACAAGTAGCGTTCTAACTGAATGACTACAGCTAAACTACCTATCCCTTACTGAGCACGAAGCAGCAGCGCAGCCACAGGTGCGAACCGAGTGTTCTATGTGTGTGCGCTAAACTGTGGCGCTGTTACAAAATAGCCTAAATTAAAGCATTTAATTTGGGGATAAACCATAGGCTAATTATATTTAGAATACAGTAATATATAACTGCTTATAAAGGAATAAATATCAAGGAGTAAATCATTGAAAATTTCTTTCTATTGGTAAAAAAAAAAAAAAAAAATGCAACTGGTCGACCAATAAGAATGTCAGTCGACCAAGACGGCATCGACCGATTAGTCGACTAAACGACTGAAGTTGACAGCCCTACAAGACTCTTATGATCTTTTGCACTGTAAAAATATTTTTGACATTTAAGCATCCTTATTTAAATTGCACTTATATAGCTGAAAAGAAGATCTTTTTGATGAAATCTGAGAGCTTTTGGTCCCTCCATTGACAGCCTAAGTAACTACCACTTTGACGCTTCAAAAAGTTCAAAAAGAGATTGTAAAACTAATCCGTACATAGCTACAGTGCTTAGAATAAGTGAACACACCCATGCTAAAGTTGACTCACCATACCTAGAGATTGGCATGGGGTACTTTCCATAAGATCATCTCTCAATGCAAATCAAACCAGCTATTAGGCTAACTGAAATAAAACCATGCCAATCTCTAGGTATGGTGAAGGGTATGTGATGATGTGGGGCAATTTTAATTCCAAAGGCCAAGGGAACTTTATCAGGATGCATAGTATCCTGGATCCATGAAATAACTGGCCTTTAAAAATAAAAATCTGCCTGCCTCTATGTGAATTTTAAATAGGGGTTTCCTGACTTATGCCCCCTGTAATTTAAGGAAGAGCATTTATTTATTTACGATACATTATTCATTCACAAAGAAAATTGGTGTCCTTAAAGGTTTAATTTTAAATTTGTATTCCTCTTTTTAGTCAACTTTAGCATGGGTGTGTTTACTTATGCTAAGTACTGTATATATTTCAAGTATGTATTTGTTGAAAATTTCCTATGATTTCTCCATTTTAGACACCAGCCAAATTTAAATTTAAAATTAAAGTTAAAAAGTTAAAATTATTGAAAATAAGTAAACAGTCAGTAATACAATTTTAAAAAAGCAAATTACAAACAATAGGACAAATACAATAGGAAAAAGATCATAATAAAACAAACAGTGCTTTAAGTTTTTCATTCAAGTATACAAGTATTCAGCCAACAGCCTACTACAAAAAAATGAATAATAAAAATGTAAAATAAAACACAGCATTGTCTTCACTGTACTTCACCTCTTTATTCTTATTAAATCAACCAAGGTATTCGATCAAGAGCAGAGAGTGATTTCGTTTAATCGCACAGCCCTAAAATGTGCTTAATTTTTATTTTTTCCCCCCATCTAATTATATAAAATATGTTTCTTTGTGAAATTCAGTGTTTCAATAATATCTTTTGTTGACTGTAAAAAGACTAAACTCACCTTCTCCATCCTCTGTGCTGGATCCGTCTGCGGACCTCTGGGGACAGAATCAGTGTCTTAAAGCCTGTTTTGGACAGGTGTGATCAGAGTCAGTAAGAACTGGTGCTGGTCTTACCTTTTGTGTTTTATCCTTCTGAAACACAAACACTGGAGGAGCAACAGCAGGTTTCTCTGCAAGATGAAAAACAGTCAGTGTGAGTGGATATGATTCAATCACTCTGAGTCTCTACCAAAACCAAGTGCTTTCTGTTTTACAACATTCTACAACAGATCAAGTGTGAGAAATGTTGATTATAAATGTATTTTATTGTATACATTTAGGCCTTGTCCACACTAATACGTTTTCATTTGAAAAAGCATCTTTTTCTCTCCATTTTGGCTTTCCGCACACACTGAGACGGTGCTTTTGCCCTGCGAAAACTACGCTTTTTAAAAATGCTTTCGCAACTGGATAAATTTGAAAATACAGTTTTCGTGTTGTAGTATGGACTGTGAAAACGGAGGTATTTGTTACGCATATTGAACCGATAGTTTGTCCCTCTAATTGTGGCTGTTATGTGCCATTCACTTTAACACTGTTGCTAAAGATATGTTACTTTGTACAATCTTCATATACTGGAAGGATAAGAGAAAAGTTACTCGCAATTGTTGTCCTGCAGGCAAAACAGCAGTTGCGTTTTAGACCAAACATATAATGGTGACCTGAACGCACAATCCTCTAATTATAACAAAGTGTGGATATTATGAAAGATTTGTTGTGCAGTCAGCTTCATTGATAATAACAGAGATGTGTGAGATCGCGATGAACTGTCAGCTTTTTAGGAATTATTAAGGGAGCGCACTTTGCGCGCATTCAGTCATGCCAGACCATCAAGTCAAGTCAAGTCATCTTCATTTATATAGCGCTTTTAACAATGGAGATTGTTTCAAAGCAGCTTTACAGAGATAAACATACAATTTACGGTAACAGAGATTGTTTTGGCTTTATAGCGATTTTGAATAATGTTATTTCCGGCTAAAGTTGGTTTTGATTGATTCACTTCCAGCAAAATTATCATTTGTTATTACATTAGGGGCCAGTAAGACGACGGCGTTCTCTCTAAACAGACTTTAAACGCGAACCTGTGACCGGATGGCGTTCACATGCACATTAAAGAGACCATGCACGCAGTAAACTGCTTGCTTTTATGTTAAATTAACAGTGGTCTGTGTGTTAATGCTTTAATAACAAATAATTTATCAGGAGCATTTATGCTGATGTATATGGTGGCGACACATAGGCTAACTTGAAATTATTTGGAGGTACAGAAAAAAGTCTATTTGCGGGCGGGAACGGGACAAAACATAAATGTTGCAGGCGGGAGAAAGTAACAGAAAGTTGAGAACGTCAGTTATAACGACCCACATATTAAAAAATGGTGGGGTTTCAATCGGACTCGGGCTCATAATTACGTTTAATGTGTCGGGCCGGGCCGGGCTTGGACAAAACGTGCACGGGCTCGGGTAGGGTCGGGCTTGATTTTTTGGGCCCGATCTAAGCTCTAAACTAAGCCCAGAAACAGAGCAGAACAACTCATGAGGGTTATGGAAAAAGTTACAATCTTTTAGAAACAGATGGACTAAAAACTGAAAACCCAAAGAAAACATTTTTGGCTTTAATTGTTTCTGTCTATTTTTGTTACCATGGGCTTGCAGAGATAATGTCCTATAACACATCTACTGGTTACCGGCTCTGATGCAGTGCACTGACCCATTTAAAGCCGTAGTCCATTATCACTGAATGAATGATTCTGAGAGCACAAATCAGACTGTTCAAAATCTACTGAACAAATTGCAATGACACAATGATCACAAAAGAACTGCAGAAGAGATCATCTCTTTATCCGTTTGCCAACACAACTCACCGTTGTCATCTGCCATGCTGCTGTCTGATCCCTCCTCAGGATGAAGTTAAGCTCTTCTGTTTCCAACCATCAGAGAGTAAACACTAAATAAAATATGGTGGCAAAAGCATGAGAGTTCAATGAAATAAATAAAAAATGACAAGAATAAAATACCCTAAATATAATAAAAAAAATGTAAAAGGCATAGCTTACCAACTTACAAACACAAAAACTTTAAAAGAACAGTTCAACCATAACTGAACATTTTGTCATGTTATTACATTTGTATGACTACAATTCTTTAGAATATTATGGCTGTGAATGGGTAAATTGAATTGGTAAATCTAGTTTAGAAAAAAACAGCCTGAATGATTCGTTCAGGAATCTGAAACTCACTGATTCAATGATCCAGTCATCATAATATTGATCATAAGTGGCTCCATTCAAAAAATATATAGCCTATATTCAAACAGCTGTGATATTTTAAATGACTAGCCTACGTACACTGCTGAATATTCGATCCCTTACTTCAAAAGCACTTATATGATTACAGATTATAACCTAGATGTGCTGTGTTTGACAGAAATCTGGCTAAAACATTACTTTAAATGAGTCCACCCCCCAAGATTACTGTTAAACATGAGCCTCATCTGAAAGGCAAAGGGGGAGGTGTTGCTGTAATTTAGAGTAATATCTTCAGAATTACTGATAAGTCTTGTTTTAAATATAATTCTTTTGAAGTGTTGGTGCTTAAAGGACAAGTTCGGTATTTTACACTTAAAGCCCTGTTTAAAGATCGTTTCTGATGAAATAGAACGGTTAAGATTGAAATTTGGACACATGCTGCTGTCCCGAGAATTCTGTGGTTTTCACAGGTTTGCGTTTTTGAAGTTTGCTCAGAGATAACCTTTTTTTCTTTTTCTTTTTTTTTTACTTGCAATTTGGAACCTATTTCAAGGTTTGCGTTCTCGAGCCACCAGGCACTGTTTTGTGCAAATGAGCGGGCCGGAGCGCATTAAGGGTTTTCTGTTAGAACGGTGTCGTGTTAGCGGGCCCTAAGTTAATAACTGATGATCTTTGCAACGGAAGTGAATCAATCAAAACTAACTTTAGCTGGACAATAACTTTATTCTAGAGAGCTGCTGTAAAGCCAAACAATCTCTGTTACTTTAATTTCCTATTATCACTGTAAAGCTGCTTTGAAACAATCTATATTGTTAAAAGCACTGTATAAATGAAGGTGACTTGACTTGACTGTGTACATGCATATTTAACGACCTGTTAAAGTCAGTATGAAATAGAAGTTACAAGAGTCTTTTCTATTGTGATGTATATTCCAAATGAAATGGCTTCTCAAACTAGAAAGAAAGTAGGGCGGAACTTTATTTTTTTCCATGGGGAATTGATTGGTGGCTAGCTAGTAGCTACAACTGTGTTGTTTTAAAAAAAAATATATCAAAAAGGCTACATTAATATACTAGTTTAATTAAGTAAACTTAAACGAATTAAAAATATATAATTCTTAATTAAACATTTAAATTCTTATTAATAAAAGAATAGATATTAAACCTAAAAATTGTATTTGCAATTTTCATCCAAAACGGCACCTAAACTCACTACACACATCACAGTTGACTTTCTAGGCTGGAAAAAGAGCACACCGTAATTCCTCTTAATGTCTCCTACTCAAACGACGTTTATTTAAAACGTGTTGAAACTGACACATCAAGTTACTGCCACAAACTACCAGAAACCCGCAGATAAAAATAACTGCAATACACGCATTTACAGCGACAACCAGTCTACAATTGATGGAAATGTACATGTCTGCATATAAACAGAAACAAATATACAATACCTGTACATAATTAAAACTCTTCTGTAAAAGAATATGAATTTAACAAATGTATGTAAACATTAGTTCTGTCTCTTACTGAGGCCGGTGCGTTTAAATGCTACGATAAAATTGCGTAATTAAATCAACAACAATAAGCAAGTACTCGGTCTCTCAACTTCAAACAGACTAAGACATCATAACATGATTCGTTATAATTAATAAACGGGTATGGAAAATATTAAAGGGTATTTAAGACACAAAAACCTCTTACCCTCGTCTATCACCTCCGCCATCTTACTTCCGGCTGTCTAACCATAATCCCTTGCGCTCAACAGTGACGCAGAGAGCGTGAGCTCAGCTCTGTCGCGCGCTTGCAGAGTAGAGGTGTGATAGCCTACTAAAGAATTATGTTGTTTTATTTTATTTTACTTTAACCTGTTAACTATCACTCCCCTTTTTGAACATCGATCTTAAATAGTTCATCATGAATGCTTTGGAATACAGACCTAAAGTTGGTCTCTTTTTAAAGAAGACCCAGAGATTATTGCAGTGATTCACTTCAACAGTTATAAAAGTTTGTTTACTGTAAAGCAAATATACTGAACTAAAAAAAAATGTATACGCAAAATGTATTTTACAAAGTGCGGTTTTCGTCCGGGCCGTGGAACACTGGACCAGCTCTATACTCTCTACAGGGTGCTGGGGGGTTCATGGGAGTTTGCCCAACCAGTCCACATGTGCTTTGTGGATTTGGAGAAGGCATTCGACTGTGTCCCTCGCGGCGGCATGTGGAGGGTGCTCCGGGAGTATGGGGTCCGGGGTCCTTTGCTAAGGGCTGTCCGGTCCCTGTTTGACCGAAGCAGGAGCTTGGTTCGCATTGCCGGTAGTAAGTCAGACTTCTTCCCGGTGCATGTTGGACTCCGGCAGGGCTGCCCTTTGTCGCTGGTTCTGTTCATAGTTTTTATGGACAGAATTTCTAGGCGCAGCCAGGGGCCGGAGGGTGTCAGGTTTGGGGACCACGCGATTTCGTCTCTGCTTTTTGTGGATGATGTTGTCGTGTTGGCCCCCTCACACCAGGACCTTCAGCATGCACTGGGACGGTTTGCAGCCGAGTGTGAAGCGGCTGGGATGAGAATCAGCACCTCCAAATCCGAGGCCATGGTCCTCAGTCGGAAAAGGGTGGCTTGCTCACTTCAGGTTGGTGGAGAGATCCTTCCTCAAGTGGAGGAGTTTAAGTATCTTGGGGTTTTGTTCACGAGTGAGGGAAGGATGGAACGGGAGATTGACAGACGGATCGGTGCAGCTTCTGCAGTAATGCGGTCGATGTACCGGTCTGTTGTGGTGAAGAAGGAGCTGAGCCGCAAGGCAAAGCTCTCGATTTACCGGTCAATCTACGTTCCTACTCTCACCTATAGTCATGAGCTTTGGGTCATGACCGAAAGGACAAGATCCCGGATACAGGCGGCCGAAATGAGCTTTCTCCGCAGGGTGGCTGGGCGATCCCTTAGAGATAGGGTGAGAAGCTTGGTCACTCAGGAGGAGCTCAGAGTAGAGCCGCTGCTCCTCCACATCGAGAGGGGTCAGCTGAGGTGGCTAAGGCATCTGTTCCGGATGCCTCCTGGTCGCCTTCCCGGGGAGGTGTTCCGGGCACGTCCCACTGGGAGGAGACCCCGGGGAAGACCTAGGACACGCTGGAGAGACTATGTCTCCCGGCTGGCCTGGGAACGCCCGGAATAGCTGGAGGAAGTGTCTAGGGAGAGGGAAGTCTGGGCATCTCTGCTTAGACTGCTGCCCCCGCGACCCGGCCCCGGATAAGCGGAAGAAGATGGATGGATGGATGGATGGTATTTTACAAAATAATATTAGTCCATTTACTTGAAAAATCAAAACCATTTGTTTAAAGGGTAAATTCACCCAAAAATGAAAATGTCATTGATTACTAACCCTAATGTCATTCCAAACCCGTAGACTTTCGTTCATCTTCAGAACACAAATAAAGATCGTTTTGATGAAATCTAAGCTTTCTCCCTCCATTGCAGCTACGCAACTACCACTTTGATGTTGCAAAAAGTTCGAGAGATCGTAAATAATCCATAAGAATTAAACGGTTTAGTCCAAATTTTCTGAAGAGACTTGATCACTTTAAATGATGAACAGATTTAATAGGATTCACATGAGCATTGATCATCAGCGAACATAAACAGAAGCTCATTGGAACCTCATTGTTCTTGTTGAAGCTCAAAGTCAAGCAAACATGCTTGAGCTTCCGTTTATCACAACTGATGTGTTGATGAATGTTATATGTGAATAAAAGCCTAAATTCAATCTGGTCATCATACAAAGCGATCGAGTCTCTTCAGAAAATCTGGACTAAACCACTCAATTCAAATGGATTAGTTTATAAACTTTTTTAAGCGTCAAAGTGGTAATTGCATAGACTGTCAATGGAGCAACAGAATTTTCAACTCAGATTTTATTAAAAAAAATATCTTCATTTGTGTTCGGAATATGATTGAAGGTCTTACGGGTTTGGAACGACTTGAAGGTTTGTAGCCTAATTAATGACACAGTTTTTATTTTTGGTGAATTATCCCTTTAACCAATGTGTCTTAAATTTGAAGTTGATGATATCACAAAAATTAAGTCTCCTAACAGGTTTTAATGTACAGTAGCCTGTTAACTGTATGTTCTGCTACCGGGACACACAGTTAACAGAAAATATGAGAGAAGAAAACTTTAGTAAATCCATTGTCAGAATGCTGTCCTGAAGATTCATCTCATGTAGTTCATCTTACTGCCACCAGATGACAGTGTGAAACACATGAAATATAGACAACAACCAACACAAACATGCTTATTATATAATATATATTGTGTATATTATATATATATTATATATATTGTGTCACATTCCAGTTCCAATAGTTTACCTGAGCATCAATTTATTGGAATAAGAAAAATGATTTATAAATATATAGACTAAACCATATGAAACAGGTGCTCTTTTGCTTTCAAGATATACCGTATATATATATTTGTCTGCATATTTTGAAGTAAGATACACATTCCCTTTAATAGATGGTTCACACTTTAGATTAGTACAAAAAGACATAAAAATCCATATAAAATCATCTTCATGTTATCGCTATGTTCCCAATCATGTTTTAACATCAGTTTGGTGATCATTCTGAGCATCTAAATCATGATACAGTGGCTCTTTGTTTCTATACAGACAATAATGCTGTATTATGAAAATGACGTCAAAGAATATGGAGAACACGCCCAGTCCAAACTTTGTGGGGTCTCCAAATATAAACTTCCATTTATCTGTCAAGGAAACATAAATTTAAAACAATTATTTGGGTGCATTCCAACTTCACATAAGTGTTTCGTATAGGAAATGAAAGTGTTTGTGTGGTCTCACCGTTGTTATAGGCCTGAAGGAACATCTGAATCAAACTGAAACTGCCCCCTGTGAAGTCCAACAGCACATTCCCGATACTCCATCCCTTTGTGCTCTGCCTGCGGTAGTTCATGTAAGCCTGAAAAGTAATTCACAATTATTTTAAGTGTAAAATATGTTATATAAAATATTCTAACCTGTTTTCAATAAAGAATATGCTTAAAAAAGACCACATATTTTTGAATAATGGAACCAGGCTTTGTGGAAATGTCTAGAATATGTAAACAATCAAGTTTTGTTTTTAATGCAATTGATCCATATTTGAATACAGTATATTATATATATTTCATCTCAATGTAGGCAATAATTTAGGCAATAGCACTCCATTAAGATTAATAACAAGCGAGCTTAGTTTGTCATTGGCATAAAATAGCATCATGCAAGGTCCAAAATGCTACCTTAAAAGATAAGTATTGCCCCGTTTGAGTTACTGTTTTGTTTATTTGTTTTTTGAGTGTGTTTTTATAACCTAATATAATTAAGCATCACGTGAGCAAGAGTGGTCTTTTCCCCAATATCAATATGATTGCAAAACTGATTTTATAAAACAGTTAAAAATCAATAACTTAATTATATTAACTGGCCAAGACTATTAGTAAGATGAGTTTTGTTGATACTGATTTCATTTGATGGTAGCAGTGTTAATTAGTTTAAGTAATTAAAAGATCAACAGTATGTAACTTTGCTTCCTATATATACACATATATGCAGTATATATTATTTATAGGAAGCAAAGTTACATACTGTTGATATTTTAATATACTGTGTATATAAAATATTAATTTTGGGTCAAATTTGATTCAAAGGAAAAAATATATATTTCCTATTAATCAAATTTGACCCAAAAATTTATATTTTCTAAGATTTAGCCCTAAAACGTTACACAAATTATGCAACACAAAAAATCAAACATTCTACACTTCAGGACACAGATAGGTACACTTTCTTAGAATACAAGGAACCCTTCTAATGTCCTAATTCATTGGAAACTCTTTCTCAATCTACTGTTACGAGCCACAAGTACAAGCAAGTGTACACTTCTGTTAAAAAATGGGGAAGTGTGAAATCTATGTTTAGCATTGCAGTGACCTGCATCAAAGTCTACTGCACTGGTCTATATGTAGCCATCCTTTTTAAAGGGATAGTTCACTCAAAACGGTCAAATTCTGTCCTCATTTACCCACCCTTATGAAATTACAAACTGACATTTTAATCAATACAAATCCACCATGGCTCTCAAATTTCTTTCACGCATGTTAATATTCAAACATGATGTCATGACAGGTTTGATTCTCATGTTTCTCATGACTGAACAAAACACACCGAATGCTTCCAACTGAATGAGATTTGACAGCTACTGTACAATGGATGAAGATTTTGAACATAATGAAGTGTTGTTTTTGGAGTTTGACAGCCCCAGTTCTCATGCACTTTTGTTTGTAAGAACAAAAAAACATTTGATATACATCTCCTTTGTATTTCTTTAAGACAGAATTTGAATGTGTGTGTGTAGCTTTAAAGCATTGTTGTGCTGTTGTGGTGTGAGATAGGAGAGTTGTACCTGAGGGATGTACTTTACAAGTGTGACACCCAGTTTAATGTAAGAGAAATAGTACAGATAATCCAGCCAGGAGATCTTCTGTGCCACAGCAACAAACAGGGAGACGAACGCAAAGGTCCAGCCAATCACTAATAACCCAATGGCCACTTTGGAAACCTTTTGCCCACCTCTCTAAAGAAAAAAGAAAAAAAGTTTAAGAACAGTTTAAGAAGCAATGCAATTTCACTCTCTTAACCTTTTTTTATAATTGTAATGTTTTTATAATACAAAAAATATATACTGTTTTTATTTAAAAACTACTAATTTTACTAAT